CCCTTGATAATTTATAAATTATTATTTTGTCATATCTTACACTGTCCGACGTCTCCCTTCACCCACTTTTCTGTAACAACATTTTTTGTAACAACATTTTTAATATTAAAAGAGAACATTATTTTTGACAAATATTTGTGAACTTACCATTTCTTGCCAACGCTTATGAATGAATACCATGAATCAGAACTTGAAATCCGATTTAACAGTTGCCCTTTAAAAAGTATACAGTGGATTCACTGCCGGTTTTCTTTTCCAGTGAATTCTGTCCTTAGCTAAGGGATACACGGCTTGATTATTTTAAGGAATTCAAAGCTGCCAATTAGTTAAGAATGTTTGGATAGTCATGAAAAGAGTGAAGCCTGGTTTATATATAAACTCAGCCTAATTGCTTAAAGAAAAAAGAAAGAATCGCACAAGAAACAGCCTTTATAAATTATATTTTTCTTAAGAATTCAACCTTCATTTTGACGATTTGTACCTGATCTTCTTGTGCATCCGGATTCAGATCTCTCTCAATCATCCAAAACATGGATATTCAGAAAAAATTTGAACACTTTATTATATTGTTAGAGGTAGGTATATGTACACCAGGAAGAACTCTATATTATTCACCAAGAAAACATGGTAACTTTTTCTTTTTAATCATTATTTTTGTTGTGCTTGGGAACTAGTATTTAAATATTAAATTTAAAAAAATTTTAAAATGTTGTAAAATTTGTCAAGTGATGTTAAAGAAAACATGATAATTGAAAAGTTTGACAGGGATGAATCAGACCTGATCTCTTCAGAATTAGTTATATTTCTAAAGTTGAGATAATGTTAAATAAGGGAAAAATATTTTTTGTACCATATGCAGTGTGCATTGAACATAGTAATTATGGCACAAAGTATGCCAAATTTAAAATTCTAAATGCTTTAGAACATTTGATACAATGCTAATAGTTGAGGGAATATGTAAGCATTTGTTGTCATTTGATGCCAATTGCAAATATTGGAGCTCACCCGATAACAGAAAAATAATTGGGCAAAATCCTACATTTTTAGCTAGTTTACACACGAAAATACTTAACAATTATTTCGGCGAAGTTGACATTATAAAACGTGCAATTATAAAACCTTGTAAAATACTTTAGATGATTAAAAAGGAGATTATCATCCAACCACAACACATATATTAACATTTATTTACCTGGAAATTCATATCTGGCTGCAGAAGGAATGGGACAGCTTCCTCTGGTGGTCCATAGGTTGAAAAGCATTTGCAAGAAGCATGTCAGGAGATACGATAATGGCTGTCTTTGTGAAAATCCACCTGCAACCTCTGAGAACTCTTGGTACGTTTTGCTTTTTTCACTTTTGATAAATACATTTGCTGTTTCAACATTCTTCACACATACAATACAGTGACATTAATTATGCTTATCATGTTGTTCAACCATAACCTCTGGTTCCAAAAAAATGTCATTACTCTGAACAGAAGCTCAGTGCCCCCTAAGCAAACACTCCTTTTATTTTCATGTTTTTTGTTCTTAGTGTGGAATTTTGGAGTATTTTTTCCTCCAGTGACAATGATCTTTGTTCCATTAAGTATACAGTGATTTTTACAAATGTTTAGTAGTCTAGGACAGAGCTTCTTCCATTCCGTCATTTATAACCTGTAGCACCCATTCCATAGTACACCCCTGGCTCTCCCTGCCAGCCAGGAGACACAGCATTTGCAGTCTTGACAGAGACTAGAGAAGCACGTTCTTCATGTGTTCAAACAACGTGATTAAAATAAAAAATCCGTCAAATGAAATGCCACGGTAAGTACTTCCCATATTTAGATTCTTATATTTTTAAAAATCCCTTGTATTTGAAATACTTTGTAAAACTCGACTCTTATTCCATTCTGTTGCTTGATTATTGAAATATCTTCACGTGAGATTCGAAAGAAAAGCATTGCAGAAGGAAGGAAAGGGAACCAGTGGGGAAATAGGCTCTTCTTTCTTTGCTCTTCATTGTCTTGATCGTGGTCATTTGTATAAAGGAAGGTTCTGAAGACAGCAATTTAAAATTCTTTCTGATGTTTTACACTAGACAAACAGAGGCTTTAATATTGTTAACAGTCTCGGCTTCTTTTCGACAATATCTGCTGCTCTAGGCAAATCGCAAGACTGAGTTACACTAACTTATCCTTCTCCTGCCTACCCTCTGGTGGTGGCATTTAGTAGTAATGAAATAAAGCGGCCATGCAGAGAACGCACACGAGGGAAAGCGCGCCCAAACGTCCCACCTGCACAGGAAAAGGAGTTCCTTGACAAGGAAAATTCAATTAGACCACAACTCCCCAAAGGAGGATTAAAAATAAAAACAGAAACAAAGAATCAACTTAGAATTGATGGTTTTAGTTTGTTTAGAAATGTCTAGCATATGTTTCAAGTAGTTATTATTTTAAAACAAAATAGACTTTTCCTTTTATCATACGAATGTCTTGGGCAGAATATTTTTTAAATCATTTTCGTAGAAGCTCTTACAGATACTATGACACTCCATAATTCAGTTAGATCAAGCTTAGTTGTACAATCGCTGTCACCATCACTTTAAAAACATTTTCTTTCTGCTTGAATTCATTCTTTGATATCAGCTCCCCTTGATCCTCTCATTCCCCCACCTTACCACCCTCACGAGCCTTTAATGTATTACTGTCATTATTTGTTTGCCGGATCTTACACCATCCAATGCGTCAGTTCACCTACAATTCTGTTATTCATTCCCCTCTAGTGGGGTTATACAGGCATCATTGCTATTAGCCCCCCCCCCTCTTCCTATACCCTCAGGCAATCACTACTCCCATTACTGTTTCTGAGGGGTTTAACTCAGAAATCTTGGATTTCATGCAACAGACAGTCTTAATTTTACAAATGAACATATGCAGGTCTAACAAGATTAGTGAGGTAAAACTAAGGCCATAACAGTGAGTGGATGAAATATTAAAGAATTGGAGGATAGTTACGTATTTCTTTTTAAAAATCATTTTATTGGAGGCTCATACAACTCTTACCGCAATCCATACATCAGTTGAATCAGGCATGTTTATACATATGTTGCCCTCATTCTCTTCTAGACATTTACTTTCTTTTTCTTATTTTTATTTTTTTTATCATTTTATTAGGGGCTCATACAACTCATCAGAGTCCATACATACATCAATTGTGTCAAGCACATTTGCACATATGTTGCCATCATCATTCTCAAAACACTTGCTTTCTACTTGAGCCCTTGGTATCAGCTCCTCATTTCCCCTCCCTCCCTGCTACCCCCTTCCCCCTAAACCTTTGATAACTTATAAATTATTATTATTTTGTCATATCTTACACCATATTGAGCCTTTGGTACCAGTTTTTTTCCTCCCCCCTCCCCGCCACCCCGATAATCCCCAAATAGATTGTACATTGTTATTAATTTCATCTCTCACACCAACTGCTGTCTCCCTTGCCCCATGTTTTCTAGGGGTGTATGGTTATGTGCCAGTCATTGCGATCGGTTCCCCCTTTCTCCCTTCCTCTCCCCCACTTCCCCCTAGCCTTCTGGCATCACCTTTCTCACTCCTGGATTCTGTGTGTCGTGAGCTCCCATCCCTTTCTAGACCTGTGTACCTGTTCCAGTCTAGTCTGAACTGGGAAGCAGCACTGAGGTCATGGTAGTGGGGGGTGAGGAAGCCTCAAGGAACCAAAGGAATATATTGTGTTTCATCGATGTTTTACTGCACCCAGGGACTCATCCCCTCCTTGTGGGCCCTCTGTGGAGAGATTGTTCCACGATCTACAGATGGGCTTTGGATCTCCGCTCCAGCACCCCCTCGTTCTCCACAATATGTTTTTGTTTGCTATGTGTCTGCTGATGCCTATTACCCGGTCCCTGTGACTCCTCATGATAGCACCGGCAGTGTGCTTCTTCCATGTGGACTTGTTGCTTCACGGCTGAATGGTGGCTTGTGTAACTTCAAGCCTTTACGACTCCAGATGCTATATCTTTTAATAGCTGGGCACCATCGCCCTCTTCATCACATTTGCTTATGCACCCGTTTTGTCTTCAGCGATTGTGTTGGGAGGGTGAACGTCTCAGACTGCCCATTCATTAGAACAAAGTGTTCTTGTATGGAGGGAGGGTCTGAGCAGAGGCCCAAAGTCCATCCCCTACCTCAGTGTATGCTGTATAAATACATGTACATGGGCCAATGCCTCTATTTTGTGGATTAATGTATTTACACATGTACACCGCTATGTTTATACCTCTATCCACTGCTTTGATTCCTTGCTCCTTCCTCTGTTTCCCTTTACCTTCCTCCTGCCCCACTGCCACTTTCCCCTTATTTCTGCCTCTTGGTACCTCCTCTTAGCTAGTTTGCTGTTGCTCCAACACCTCC